CTAATCCTAACCCTAACCATATAGTAAGTACATGTAGTTAATTAATATTACTCAGTAGGCTTAAATGTATAATTGCACTGTAACAAGGACACCTTAAAATAAAGTGTAACCAAATATTGTGCTTATGCAAATGTTTCTGACTGCAATAGGGTTTTTAGGCTTCTCGTACCCGGACTCGGGCCTCCGTGAGGTTGGTCCACACTGCGATCTCCTCTCTGGTGCTCATGTCCGGGTATCGGTTCCTCTGGAAAGTGGCTTCCAGCTCCTGCAGCTGCTGGCTGGTGAAGTGAGTCCTCTGCCGTCTTTGTTTCTTTTTCTTGGAATCGTCGGCATTCCCGTCGTCACTTCTCTGCTCGACAGACCTCTCCTTTTCTGGGGAGAATAATGTTGAGGTGATATGTGATAAAACTTGATTTAGTTAGCTTATTAAATAGGTAATTTTAATTTGCTAGTTAATCTGCACATTTGATCTGCATCATCTTGTAAATATTCCACTGAAATAAGTGAGAAAATACTCTCCAGTTTTGGCCTGAAACGCATCCAAGGTCATTCTGTAGCTAAAATGTTAGGTAACACTTTAATTTAAGGTGTCCTTGTTACACGTTACATGTACTTACTATTACATGCATGATGCAAGTAACCCTAATCCTAACCCTAACCATATAGTAAGTACATGTAGTTAATTAATATTACTCAGTAGGCTTAAATGTATAATTACACTGTAACAAGGACACCTTAAAATAAAGTGTAACCAAATATTGTGCTTATGCAAATGTTTCTGACTGCATTAGGGTTTTTAGGCTTCTCGTACCCGGACTCGGGCCTCCGTGAGGTTGGTCCACACTGCGATCTCCTCTCTGGTGCTCATGTCCGGGTATCGGTTCCTCTGGAAAGTGGCTTCAAGCTCCTGCAGCTGCTGGCTGGTGAAGTGAGTCCTCTGCCGTCTTTGTTTTTTTTTCTTGGAATCATCGGCATTCCCGTCGTCACTTCTCTGCTCGACAGACCTCTCCTTTTCTGGGGAGAATAATGTTGAGGTGATATGTGCTCAGTCGCACCTATTTTTGCCAGAGATTCGGAAGGAGTCGGACTCAAACCGGGAGTCGGACAAAAGGGAATCACGATTCGTGTACACAGACTGACGTGCTCGTCAATCCATAAATATGCAAACACGTCTTATTAAAATATAGCTTTCAAACGGGACCTATTTGCACAATGCTCAGGGCTGTATTATTTTAAATATCCAACATAGAAGTTAAAGGCCTATCAGCTCCTGCAGCTGCTGGCTGGTGAAGTGAGTCCTCTGCCGTCTTTGTTTCTTTTTCTTGGAATCGTCGGCATTCCCGTCGTCACTTCTCTGCTCGACAGACCTCTCCTTTTCTGGGGAGAATAATGTTGAGGTGATATGTGCTCAGTCGCACCTATTTTTGCCAGAGATTCGGAAGGAGTCGGACTCAAACCGGGAGTCGGACAAAAGGGAATCACGATTCGTGTACACAGACTGACGTGCTCGTCAATCCATAAATATGCAAACACGTCTTATTAAAATATAGCTTTCAAACGGGACCTATTTGCACAATGCTCAGGGCTGTATTATTTTAAATATCCAACATAGAAGTTAAAGGCCTATCCAGTGGAAAGAACTTTCGGCCGTATTTTAAACTCAGGCTTAGTTCGTTGTTATTTACGCATCTCGACTACTTTCATAAGATTTGCAGTTTATGCAACATTTAATGCATTTAATTGTAATATCATTTCTAGAAACAGGTTTGGTAGCGGTTATCGAGTTCTTTATAAGATCAAAACATAGGCTATATCCAGCAGTTGAAATATTCTCTGTTTAGTTTAGAAAGCAACAAATGCGTTAATAATACAGGCTAAACGTGAATTTATATTTCGTTTTTGCAATCGCAAAGCAGCAAGCTGCCAACGTGCAACAAGCGCTGCATGCACTGCTTCTGCAAAATTAGGCCGGAAAAAAAAAACCCGGCTAAACAAATAAATAAGTTATTTCTATGTACTAAAACAAAAAATTGCAGGCATGGCAGATATGGCAGGAGACAATATTTTTTAACATGTAAATACATGCTTTAGTCAAATAGGCTTGCTTGCATATACTTTCGGCATGTTAATGTTGTGTGGTTTATTCTATGGATGGGTATGTAAATATATGTCGTTTACCTGCTGTTTCATTATCTGAAGATTCGCAGCTCGAGTTCTCTAACGTTTCTCTGGTGCTGTTGCTTCTCGGCAGATGAAAAGATGAAGCCATGTCCAAATTTATTCCACCTTTAAAACAATCATGCGTGTTACAAAAGCTCCTCCAGCGCTGCGACGCAAGCGTCGGTATATTTGCTAAGCAATCCACTCCGCGTTTCTAATTAATAAACACGTGGACAGCCAGCGATCTCCAAACTACTGTAGATATATTCCTGAAGAGTGAATGTTTGGTGTGAATGAGTGGAGGTGCAGCAGCAGCAAACAGCAGGACCCACCCATCCTCTCTTCCCCGCGTCCACTGTCAGTCCCACCCACAAAGCCCAATCATACATTAGACATACTTTCTCCTTCAGTCGAGCTTCTGGCAATATCGCTGCACCTTGTGTCGGAAACAGTGTGTTTGGACTCAGGCTGCATGAGCCATGAACAGTAAGAGACTATTAGCTAAAAAAAAAAATCTAATACATTTTTTAAACGCACAAAACCACCTTATCCACGCTCACAAAAATCAGTTTAATAAAAGTAATTTTTTACGTCAACCATATTTTGTCCAATGTGCATAATTACTGTTATTCTCGTGCGGGTTAATAACAGTCATTGGAGCAATGTCAGCACTTAACTGTTAACATTAAAAAAGAGGCTAACTTTATTTGCCATTGCCAATTCCATTTGTTCAGTGAGCAGTTGGGCTCTCTGCTTTGAATACTGGCGACATGTCAGAACCAGCAAACCAAGCGGTGTGTTCAGAGGAAAAGTCTTTTGCGTTTGAGGCTCATGAACACGTTATTATGCTCAGTGACTGTTCAGGACTAATGCAGACACATTCACTCTTGCCTACAAACATTATTAGCACTATTGCCCAAACAATGACGGTAGCTAGCTACTATTGTAGAAACAGTCCAATAATGAGAAATATGATATGGGCTTATTGTGACAGTTTCATTCTCAGTCAGAAAACATCTCACTTTCACGTCTGATTGTTCTGTGCGGGATTTTTTTCAGGTTAGTGGCGCCTGCTGGTTGGTGAGAATACAAAGCCGCCTGACAGCCGCCTTACAATCATCCGCGGCCCTTAAACGAAAAATATTAGACTTTTTATTTCGCCATTTCTAGATGTTTACGACACAGAGTGCGCCACCAGCTTTCTCAAATTATTTCCGCAGTTTCCACACTGCAGACAATTTATATTTTTATTTTATAAACAAAGAAACCGAAGGTTTATGTTTTTACTGTTGTGGCTTTGAAAAAAACCAAAATTTTATTTATTTATTTATAATAAAAAAAAAAAAACATTTTATTTTTACATGGCCATATGTATAACAAACCTTTCCCCCCTGTTTTTGGCCTTAGCATCTGACCTATTTTCTATTAATACTTTATTATTATTATTATTTTGTCATTATTGTAATTTACGGAGAAAACATTTAGTCAGATCTGTCAGACTGTATTCTCTTACACAAACATTTAACAGGAATAATTGCTGAGATCTGACAGCATAATGCACGCTTTTTCTTCTTTAGGTATGGATTGACCCATATCTGCGGTATATTTATTTTAATTGTATTTTCATCTGTTGCTTTAGTTTTGGTTCATTAATCGCCATAGATATACTAAAATATACTAAATATACTATATACTAATGAATATACTAAACACAGCATCATCGACAAAGACCTAAAGATTCGTTTCGTTAGGTTGCAAGGTGAATTATATATTTTCATACAATCTGTAATAGAAAACTGTGCATTTCTATAATGACAATTCGCGAGAATTTTTTTAATGGGAGAAAATATAATGTTGGTGTCCTCGATATTTCAAGAAATTGACATTATAGCCTATCTTAACTGATATAGTCTAACAGCTTAATTCAATCAAATATAATCAATCATGTGTGTCTTTTTTTGTTTAATGCATTGCTTAAACACCGACCAGCGCACTGATAAAGATAAAGAGAGGAATCATAGTTAATAGGTCCATTTGACAGGATGATATAAGATGAGGATGTAATACATTTGCATATTTTAGATACGCTATATAATTTTTCTGACTGAATAGTTCTTCGCAGCATCACTTCAAAACATCTATGCGAGTCCATTTGTCACGAATTACAAACTACAGCAAAATAAAGGTGTTTAAAGAGAAGAGGTGACCGTAAAGCCAAATAAAGCACACAACTCAATCATTCTCATTGTCTCTCTTAATGAACGTTTAAACTACTCGAAGCTTCGACCGCATATTGCCAGTTCAGATGTTCAGGTTTTGGCCTTCAGGTTAATTTAGATAAAGATGCTGGCACACACACACTCAGCCACATTTGACTGACTCCTTCACTAAACCAACCGGATATTATTTGAAAAACGAATAAATAATAATAATGAATGAATAATCACAATATAATACTAATAATGTAAATATTTTAAGGAAGCCCGTGCACTGGAAAAAATGTAACAAAAAATAGCAATACCAATGAACTGGTTTTATTCAAGTCAAAAATATTATTTAACATCACTGAATCAACCTAAATGCATTTATGAATACCAACAAAACTCATTTTATCGGTTAAATCATTTGCAGTAGCAGGCTTTAAAGAAGCCTGTGAATAATTGTTGGACGTGTGGATGTTATTTTTTACGACTATGCATCAGCTGGTCTTAGTAGTGACAGATACTGTGTTGTAAATAAATATAGGCTGTTATTATAATTATTATTATTATTAAATATTGCTAGCCTATTATTATTATTATTATTAGCATATTATTTAGTGATGCATTCATAAGGAGGCACCGCATGACAACGGAGTAATAAGTATTTATTTATAGCAATATGAAAATAGCCTGCTCCAGATGATTTTGAACAGATATATGGAAATAGGCCTACTAGATTTTAGAAAACACTCAATCTCGAGCACAACCTTTTCGCACATGACAGTGTCTCCAAATAAAAATTCTACAACATACTGAAGTCGCAAGGCTGTTTTATTAGTGACTTGGCGGATCCGTGTCCTATATCTTTCTCTTATTCATACTGTATCGAGAGTGCTTCGGAGCAGCTCAGACTGAATGAAGTGCATGATAACAGCAGACCGCAGCGGGTTGTTCCTAATGTTTCAACCTGAGCACTACATGCAAAACACGCGCCTGTTACATTGTTACACATTCAGTGTTTATACTGAGCTCATTCAGGTTTGCTCTGCACTGACCACACCAGGATGACCGGACACCATTTGAAGTGAAACATTTAGATTTATCGAGTTATAACGGAACCTGTTATGAACAGCGATAATTTAAAAAATATAGGCTAAACAATATTACGCCTACAAGTACCGCAATACTTCCAAACAATCATTGTTACAAAGCGACGAATAGTGACTCACGTGTCAGTTCTCTGAAAGGCTGTTTGCTTCCTTTTCTCGTGTATTAAATCGTCTCCATGCATTTATAGTATATAGTTCCTCAAATGCGTGCAATGTTCAAGTTTATGCGGCCGAAGATGCGGCAGCGCAGCCTCTATCAGGTAGATGAAGTGACGTCACAGACGCATGACGTCACGCGCCTGATCAAAGGACGAGCCTCAGATGACAATTCAGATCAAGTACACAAATTACATTATGTGTATAATATACATTATATATATATATATATATATATATTATAATATACATTATATGCGCGCTGATCTTTGTGTGTGGTCACTTATGAGATCTATACTGCTATATCATACAATGTTTTTATTTCACACTCTGGTTAGTTTATTTACTCCATTTTTGTTGTTATCCTCCTTTGAAACCGATTATTAAAACAGTTACGCATTTTAATCATATGCTTTATGTTGCCTGAATGGAAAAGTTTTATTGTCGCATGTCAAATCTTAGAGAACCTGTGTATTATATTTACAATTTTAAAATAAGTAGCCTATAGCTACACGGTCTTAAAAGACCACTTAACACTTGAATAAATGAATGAATACAAACCAGTCGCGTAAAACAAGAAATGTAAATGTAAAATATTAGAAATATTAAATTGACTAATTAAAATAATGAATATCGATGCCTCTTTTAATAATTGGACATCCATGTTCAGTATATTTTTGTAGCTATATTCGTTTAGTTTTTCTAAACACACGCACTGATGAAATATATGACTGAGTTCTCCATTCTGTCACCGATGGAGTTTTGGTTCCTTGCCGCTGTCGCCTCTGGCTTGCTTAGTTGGGGACACTTCATTTCCAGCGATATTGTTGACTTGATTGCAAATGATTGCAAAGATACTATTTAAACTGAACTGAGCTGAATGAAGACATCACTGATTCAATGATGAACTGTCTTTAACTGGAAAATCAGTGTTTACTATTGTCATTTTGCATTATTGACACACTATTTTCCTAATTAATGCTGTTCAGTTGCTTTGACACAATCTGTATTGTTAAAAGCGCTATATAAATAAAGGTGACTTGACTTGACTTGAATTAAATTTGAGCAAACTTTAATGAGTGAAACAGCTTACAATAACAATCATTATATTATAGTTTATGGTCGCTACTACAAAGGTCAAATTCTCAAAATTACAGACTTTGATTTCTCTGTTGTTTTATGACTTTGCTACCAGAGCCTCAAGCCACGCAAACAATAAACTGAGGTTCACCATTAGGATGGCGTCTTCGCTTGTTAATGTTCTCTTTAAAAAATAAAAATGAAGTAAATTAATTAATAAAAAAATAGTACTGCCGAACCGAGCCCTTTGTTTTGGAGAGCCGTATATTTCTGACTGTTACATTACGGTCTTGATGTAACATCTACTTCCAATCTTATTTGCTGTTACATTTAAAATTGTAATATTTTGTAATGTTTTGGGATCTCAGAAGAGCTCATTATGCATGGAAGATAAATGCACTGAGCAAGGTTTACTGGCACGTTTAAAGATGTTGCTTCGTCATTTAAGGATTTACAAAAAAACATTACAATTCAACTCGCTTGAAATCGTACCTAAATCAATGTTCACCGGCAGCATATTTTTGCATTGACTGAGCTAGGTCGTGTGTGAAATTTGTGGAAATGGCAGCACTTCTTCACAATTGGTTTCCAAATTGTCCTGTTAACATCGGCGCATGCATTACCCTGCTCTGTAAATGTGTTGTTTTAATTATGTAAGCTTG